ATATTTTTTTATTTTTATTTATATATTTTTTTTTAACTGTATTGCTTTGGTCCTAGAAGATATGCAGCTTGATTTATAGGAAATAGTTTGTTGTATTTTTCTTTTATGCTTGCAGTAATGTGAAAGTGTGTTTTTTATACACGGTTTTATATTAAGTGTAGATTTCATTGCTCGTGTTTCTTTAAGATGTGCTCTTCTGTGTATTTTATTGCCTGGATGGGAGCCAAATTTCCCTTGGCACAAAATATGTGCAAGTGTAGAATGCTATTGAGCTCAGAGCCAAACGACTGACGGCGAACCGCAGGTGATTCTTGACATCGACAGTGTACTGAGTGAGCTGCTTGATTGCTACTGAGCTCCACTCCCCACCCCCCACAGCATCTTTCCTCCTCGTGATGTGCACTCAACTTCATGTTGAGTCATCAAAACCCAGATGGGCTCTGACAAGAATACAATATATATGTTTGTGCACTCGAGGTAAATTTCACAATGTCCCGGCACAACGTGTGGTTAGAAAAAAGGACATTTATGTTTCATTATACATTTTCCCTCTCTCTCCTTTTTGTTCTCGCTCTTCTTACTATCTGTCAGAGTTTCTTTCTGTCAGCTGTTTAATCACCTAACTGCCTGTCATTGCCAGGAGTTGGAGGGAGTGGAGGTGTTCGGGGTGGTGGAGGGAGGAGACATCCTGGAAGAGAGGGTGCGCTCAGGCAGGGAGACCGCCAAGAGGCCTGTGGCTGGATTCTGCCTGGACGGCCTACAGACGGGCTCCATGGACCAGGCCCTGAGGACCCAGCTCATCACTGCTGTGACCAAGGAGCTGCCCGAGGACAAACCCAGGTCAGCTTGTGACTGTGGAAAAGCCCCACACTAATTATACAACAGTGTTTAACTGGACAATAGGAGGCATAGAAGCTGGGTGAACAAATGGTACCCTGTTGTTTATTATCTTGACATCAGTAAGACAGAGACATGCCTTGTATTTAATCACCAGTTTAGAAACAGCCTGTAGATGCTCTAAATCCGGACAGAATCAATGAATTACTCTTCAAAGGGCTTAAAATTTCACTTACCATTTTAAAGTGATGTTTTAAAATAGAATAGTTAGTCAAGTATTCAATTTGAAGTTGCCTCTAACAATTCTTTTCTATATCTGATTCTTTTCTTGATAGACCACACGGTCGAACACATTGGTAGATAGTGAAAATGTCCAAAGTAACATCTTCAACCGACATGTTTTGTCCAAAACCTCATCATATTCAATTTACAATTATAATGAACCGGAATAGCAGCAAATCCTCATATTGGAGTAACCGAAACCAGAGAAGGTTTTGAGTTTTTCGCTTGAAAAATGCCTTAAATTATGCTAATATCATTTTCTGTTGGTCAAGGAATCAATTAATTGATTCTTTGTTTGAGATATAATTCAATTAGTAACATAAACTGGAAAAAAAATCAACCAACAACACTGAAATTCATTAATTCTTTACAACTGATACACAAATAAATACATTTTTGATGAATGATGACTCTTCTCAGTGCAGCAGTGTGATTCAATGACTGAGTGGGCCCAGTTGGTGTTTCCTGCTCAATCATTAAATGAAGTGCTTGATTGATTACAAGTGAAAACACAGCAGCTCTATCGTGTGCAGTCATTATCTCAGCTGAATAGTATAGTGCCATTTCATCTTTATTTACTTCACTACTGTCCACCTTTAGTTTACTAAGAAATATTAATTGTCTGCTGACATTCATTTTTTAAATCTAAAATGTACAACGCTCTCGTTGAAACTTCCAAATGTTCTGGCTAAAAAACAGCTTAAACAAAAAAGCCACAGATTTAAAAAATGTGTGACAGTAAAGCAGCACGTTTAAAGGATCATATTGTGGTCGGGACATTATCTTTTTCCATGTGATAATGTCACATAACTGACAGCAAAAAGACCATGATATAGTCTTATAAAACCCAATATCTCCCACCTGACTGACTACACTTTCAGAGTACACTACTTGTTAAATGTCAAACTAGATGTCCCTGGTTCACCTTTCAGAGGCTTTTCACCGGAGACAGTCTGACATGAGAGCTCCTCTCAAGGAGGTGATGGAGGAGCTCTGCTACCTTTGCTTGTGAACAGGCTCCTTGGTTGCTGGTTGCTCTGGTTGTGTAGATGTTGCTTCCTGCTGGAAAGTGGAGTAGAGTCCATTATCAAATGCTAAATTGGGCTTGACCTTGATGCCTGCATGCAGAGAGTCAGCGGGAGCCAGTTAACTGAAAGCCCTCGACGAGCACAACCGCACAAGGGTGCACATGTTGTTAAAGGGTAATACGTTGTGGAAGCGTGTGTGGGTTACATTAACCCTTAGAGACCCACATAGACCCATTTCTCTCTTTTTCTTTTACGAGGGAAAGCGGATCTTTAAGGGGAGATGACACGTTATATATGTATGTGTGTGTATGTATATATATCTGTGTGTGTGTATATGTGTGTGTGTGTGTGTATATGTGTGTGTGTGTGTATATGTGTGTGTGTGTGTGTGTGTGTGTATATGTGTGTATATGTGTGTGTGTGTGTATATGTGTGTGTGTGTGTGTGTATGTGTGTGTGTGTGTGTGTGTGTGTGTGTGTGTATATGTGTGTGTGTGTGTGTGTGTGTGTGTGTGTGTGTGTGTGTATATGTGTGTGTGTGTGTGTGTGTATATGTGTGTGTGTGTGTGTGTGTGTGTATATGT